TATTTGTATTACAGTTATCTTTAAGGCTGTAGGCTACATGTAACGCATGTAGTAGATCTGATAGCATGATTCAATGTATAGATTTTTTGTGGAAAAATCGAATGTCCCTCTTTCCAATAAACCTGCCAGTTTGATACTCGAACTACAGCAAGGATACAAATAGTGCAAAGAGAGCTGAAATAAATATTGTATGAGGTGCCTGAATAATATAAAATACAGATACTGTATGTTCTGCATATTTGTGCATATCTGGTATACGTAGAGCTATTCCATCAAGCACCAAGTGTTATTTACACAATAAACAAAGTGTTGAAAATGTGGAAATCTACAGGCTCAGATATTAGTCTATGTTTCTGCTTTATATTTGTACTGAGATACTAAGAAAACTTTACATTCATAACTTCATTTTGTGTCACCTAAATGTTGAAATAATTTGTGCTTAAACTCTATTTACACTCTCAGAATGTTTCTATGATTCACAGGCTCACAAAAAGTGACGTAACAATTGCAGGTTGAAATTATTCCTGGCTCAAAAGACCTTTATTTGAGACCTAAGAATATCACGTCTAGTATTCAGTGGCTCTGCTGCGCCCAGCTCAATAAAGCTGGCATGTCACAAAAAGTAATAATGGCAATAAAAATATAAAATATAATAAAAAAGACTAAATGCACACACTCACAGAGCGAGCCTATTTGTGAATTTTATTTCACCCAGTCATGACTCTCTTAGCTCCATTTTTTCTGCTATGAAGCACCTCAGGGACTGACTCAAAGGCAAGAGAAACATATTTGTCGCTTCCAGCCATCTAACTCACTGATGCTATCATACTGACAGGCAGCAAAAGAAACCACCTTTCTCGCCTGTTCACCACCTTAATCAACTATGTCATATCAGACCATTATTTCCATCAATCCCTCTGCTGTCTTCACCTTTTTGAAATTGTCCCCCCACCCTCCTTCTTTCTCCAAAAATCCCCTCTGTCCCACCAGTCAGGTTGAATAAATGTCAGCCCAATCATATCCACCTACATCCATTTAATTCATAAAATCAAAGGCATGAAATATTGATGAGGGTGGGTGGATGAATGTGTGCATGAGTGAGTCAGAAAGTGTTAAAAAGAGAAGTTTTATGGAAATGATTATTCTGTATTAATTCAGATAAAAGGGCAACAGAAAGAATAGAAAGAGGGTGTAAGTGTACATAAGCTGACATGGCCAATCTAACCATATAATTCACCTTGAACAGACCCCCTGCTTCTGTCACGATGGCTAACAGCGCAACACACCACCGGGAAAGAGCTGGTAGTGAGGTGAAAAGGTGTCAGATGAAAGATGAGGTATGAGATGGCAGAAGAGAAGTGGACACAGCGAGAGAAAGGTGGAGAGCAGAATGGTAATCCCTATGATTCACGTCTGCATTCAGACAGAGCAGAGGTCTGCGGCTACCCGGGGAGCGTAGAGGGTCGGGTGGCATCAATCAGATACATATGGAGGTAAGAGGAAGAGAAAAAAGTGGGGAGGCGAGAGAAAAAAAGAGAGAGATTCGGGGAGGATGGTGGAAGTAGGAGGTGTGTGGGTGTGTGGTGCAATATCGAGATGTCAGCACTCTTAAAGTCAGAGGACAGCACTTTCCTTCCATCAAGCAGCCATTCTGTCAAGTCCACAGGGACAGAGCAGAGCCTGTGCCAGCCAAGATGAAGGCCATATATATTACATGCCCTGCCCACACGACACTTGCTCAAAAGCGAGGTGGCAAGAGCTTAGAGTCAGCGCTAAAAAACTCAGAAACTTTGTTGTAAAAAGAAACGACCTCAGACGCCAAAGCAACCGTGAGCCAGGATGTAGAACAATGCTTTTCAGTCAGCGATGCAAAAAACACACATGGTCCACACCCATGAATGTGAAAGTACAATATCAGGGTGCAGTGCCCGGTAATTCCGGTCCACGTTTTAAGAAAGAAGAGGAGCTTTAAATACCCGACAATGGCAAAGTGCTGATTCAAACAGTGAAGCTGAAATAACTTTGCTCAGCAGGGTGCTGCTCAGTGCTCTGATCCAACACTGGCAATTGAATCCACCAGTTGGACTCCTAAGCACGGATTAAACACAGAAGAAAAGTCATCACAAAGACACGGACATATCACCTTGCTGAAGTGAAGGTAGTCTGCTCAGCTGATTTGATTACTGAGCTTACTGTGGGGTGGAGAGAGAGAGAGAGAGAGAGAGAGAGATGGGGATGGAAGGGGGGTGTTAAAGCCTCACAGACTAGAAAAGGGAAGGCCAAACACATATAGTGCAGAAGAAAGGAGAGCTTATCTGCACACTTCATGGTCCATCAGCAGATTTCATTCCAATACGTGAACTGGCTTTCTTCTAGTATTTCCAGATGAGTTAATGTACTGGGAGCTGCTCTGGGGGGGCTCTGAGCTGAGATGAAGCAGAGACAATAAATTCTGGGCCTGTGTCAGTTATTAAAGGGCTATAGATTATTGGGTTGATGAGTATTTGATGACTGATCTTCAACAGGAAATCAAAACGTTCACTTGTCAAGGTTGAAGACCCACAATGACTCTGCTACGTCTCCTCCGTACTGAAACACAAGTCATTTACCACAGAAGCCGCTCTACCTTCCCGCTGGTTGTGTGTTCATGTGAGCAAGAGATGGCTCTTTATGGGACAGCAAATAGGATGTTTATGACCCTGTGTGGGCTATGTTGCCACATTATATACAGCCAAATTGAATCACACTCAGTGTGACATTGCCATTATTTCAGGGGCAATACACTGAGGTACCACAAAATGCACAAGTGATTTCTTGTTCTATGCTCCAATGTGAAAATGACATTTCAGAACTGAACCGTACAACAGCATGACATTTAAATTGTGGCTATCAGAAGGATGCAGCAAAGACACTTTAGTGACTTTAGTGCCTCACTCAGCTGCTTTCAGGCTGTACAATGTAATAAAGCAATAAAGAATAAATGATATAAGATATCAAACCTAGTAAGAGAGATTGCCAGTGACACAATGAGAACCTGATTCACTAATGTGCTCCATGTAATACTGTATATCCTGACAGGGGTGTTAGGAGGTCTTAGTGGGTAAACCCACTTGGGTTTTCTCTTTCCTCTCCATCTCTCCTCTCATTACAGGCCATTACATGATGACACTGACAGTCTCCTGCCGATCAGCGTAACCATAGCGTGCTTTCTATTTTTTCAGAAGTGGTAAACTGAGAGTGGTCAATAAAGTAAAGTAGCCATAGACTTCTGTTTGCTCTCATTTTCAGTATTATTTATCAACCACCTTCATGTACAGTTTCCCCCTTTTCCTTTATTTCTGTGTGGCAGTATCACACATACAGTATGTTTAAACTCTTCCTTCAAGCTTTCGATGTTTACACTTAGTAAAAATGTAAACCTAAAACTGTTCCCTCGACTGGAAATATATTATTTTCCTGACATATTTGGTGTCTTTGGAAACTTTGGGATTATTCTAAATATTGTAAGTTTAGAACAATGTCACAATGAACAGCATGTGTTTCTAATCAGTGGACCACCAGAGGGCCACTGCTTGTTATGGGGTATCACAGTAAGACACCAACATTTCAGCAAACAGTCTTCATTAGATCAAAATAAAAGACAGAATTAATTGAAAAATAATGAAGACTGTCTTTGCAGTGTAGTTTTAATACAAACTTCTGAAAATGAGAACATAGTATGCAGCTACTTAACCTTATTGAAATGTAGCCTTCAGCCCCCTTATATAAAGTATCCCTTACATTTTAATCTGAAAGATCAAACTGGACATCTGTCCTTTGCTCAACAACCTCCATCAGATTCAGGATACCAAAAAACTCAGATTACTCATTACTGTTAACAAGACGTGGTTAATTATTTAGCAGTTGTCACAGTAATGTGAGACTATACGGATGGAAGAAGGCAGGAAGGCTGCATCCAACGCCTGGCACAGATTTCAGAGTCCTGGTGGGTAAATGATAAGGTGGAGGACGGGCCAGAGCCCACACCTCCATGGTCAGGAACTGGATCAAATTACACAATAACTGATACGAGTCGATCACAGATAGAGTGTAATGAACTGACAACACAGTGCTTATAGAGGTTTTTTCTTTCCTATCGGCATCAGTTGCAAACTTGAAAGAGCAAATTCTAAATACAGTACAAAGGAAAATTAGATTTGTGTCAGTTCTTAATTAAATTATTTTGCATACTGCTGCTTAGGATGTATGCCTATGTGCTATTCTACTGACCTATAGGGGTTCACACACCCCATCTCAATATGATAATTCAATCCACATTTCCTGAAGGTGCCTTGCTGGGTGCTGGGAGGGGAAAGGGGATTCTGTCTTTCCACACAAGCATTGTCATATAGTAATTTCATGGCACATTGGTCCACGATGTGGTAACATTGTGAGTTTGTGTTTTCAAATAAATCAAAGCAGGTTTGAGCCAAGAAGCCATGTCAGGTAGTTATATTCTGCATTTCTGATATTACCTCTTTAAACCGAGACAAATAATCACCACTATATAACGTTTGTATTAAAGGCGACAACATTGTCCTTAACTTGCAAAAAAAATAAAAAATAAATAAATAAATAAAAATAAGTTCTATTTATTTTCAACCCAACAGAAGCATTTACTGCTGCTCTTTGGCAGCGGGACTCTTGTGATCAGGTGCTTGCATTAACTTAAACTGGCACGGTAGCAAGACAATACATCATCTGTAGCATCTGAGAGGATAACTTCCAAAGTTTGGGACAAATAATACCAAAAATCGACGACAAAGCTTTAAACTTACAATATAGTCTCTTAAACAGCACTAAAAGACATGCAAGTCATTCTCTACAGTATTACGCTTCGCAATCTCCTATAAACCCATGTCCGATGCTTATTTATCTTGCCTTCATTGTGGTGATTTTCAAAAAAATAGAGGCATTATAAGCTGGGTGATTCAATATATTGGCCAGAATATTGCACAAACCTGATTAGGGTGTCCCGTCTGTGTGTCCGCTGCAGCCTCAAACTTTGTGATGCGCTCGTCCCTGCTCTTCTTCTTCCTCCTGCTGCTGCTGCGGAGCGTCGCTTTGCTGAGAGACACGACGAGAAGCAGGCAGAGGCTCTTAAAGCTCCCCACCCACTCCGGCCTCCCCCAGGGCGCACAGCCAATCACAAAGGTGCCCTCAACACAATAATACATAAATAAACCAACACAACTGTCTATTGTCATCAAAATATATGCACTTGTCCTGAGCATATAGACTGTATACAATAAAACACCCACGGAAAACATTGTAGGATATTAAACAAATTATTTACAGTCAGAGCACAATTAAAGATCTCCTCCAGACATGTATTATGACATATAGAAACAGTCTGCTTGGAACAATAATGTGTGTCTAATATGATGATGATATCATTTACACATTAAAGTCCTTAAAGAGGCATCTACTCCTTCTGCCTCATTACAAATTCCATGATCTATAAATACCTGTATGCCAGTTCTGTTCATTTAGGTTTTCCTGCTGGACACAAGATGTCTCCTACTTCATTGCAAAGTCCATTCTCAGTGTATGTGCACTGGCGGCTTCAAGTTTCTAAACCACCCTTGTAGAAGTTGTATAATGAACCAGGAATGACTTCCAAACAATTTGTGATGTCACAAATCATGCTTGTAGGCACCGCCTCTTAAAATCAGATTTTTAGTGAAAACATCCTATAGCGTTGAACTTGAAACTGCACATACATCATTCTTCACAGTGAAGCTCAAACATCCAAGTGTAGGAACAAGAAGAAACACATATTATTGACTTCTTATAGGAATATTGTTGCCTGTGATAATCGCCCTGCCTAAATTAATTAATTATTGTGCTTCACAGACACAGAATTAATAGGTGCTCCCTGGGGTGCCATTAACTGAACACTGACAAGCCCACCTTGTGTCTTTGTTTAAACTGTCTATTGCACACTGAAAATGCTGCAGGCCTATAATATGCCTTGGTGAAAACTAATCACTATAAATAATAAACCTTTTTATAAGTGTGATTCTATTAGCCAAAGCTTGTAATGCATAGCCCAACGCCACATTGTATCTCACAGTTAACGTGACTTCACATTCTCCTCTGCTGCTTCTTCCATTAAATGTTAAAATGTTTTATAACTAGGTTTGAGAACAGAGACAACGCCTCAAACTCACTTCATTTCCGCACAAAAAGTACTTAAGCACACCTTATCCGTTCACTCCGTCTTTGACTCAGTTTTCACATCCTCCCCTACAACCCCTCCCATTCTCTCTCTCTTATACAAATACAGGAACCAGTGGGGCTCTAAATAAGAGATAAGAAGAGTTCCCCCCCACCATCTCGTCCAAATTCCTCCATCCATTAAACCATCCATAAACCTGATTCCTCCCATACCCCTTCATCCCTCGACCCTTACCTCTCCATCCCTCATCCTCCATCCCTCGACCCTTTCCTCATCCCTTCATCCCTTCTACAGTTTATCATATTAGTTAGTTCCATGTCCTCATTGGTGTGGTCTTTGTTAGTGAAATGACCAACATGGTGCACCTTAAAACTGTTGCTGTTCCATAAAATGGCACCAGTGTAAAGAAAGGAACTTCTTCATTATTCACTCGAGGAACTTAAACGCACACTGAAGAATTACACATTGTTTACATGCATTTTATACACAAATGCTTCTTTGAAAAAAGGTCAAAAGCATGTGAAATTTGTTTATAGTATCCCATATTTTCTTTCATTTTACGCTCTAATACAAGACAGGTCTCTACTGCTTTTGGGGACAGCACACAAAACTCTGTATTTCTCCAAAAGTAAGTCAGACCCCCATTTTGAACCACTCTTAGAGAGGCAATTAAAAGGAAAACAAACAAAAATCTAAATGTGTTCTCAGTGCTTCCGCTATATCGGTCTCTTCATTCCTCTCCTCATCTCACTCCTTCTTTTATCCATTTCTTAAACTGCTCTTCCAGTCCATGTGGTGTTCATGTGGGGGAACCAGTGGCATCTGTGCAATCTGTGCCACCTGCTGCCTTCCCTCCATCCCTCTGCCAGGTGCTACTAGTGCCAGTTGCCTCACCTGTGTCCCCAGTAGAGTGGGTCAGGGCTCAAGTGTCAGGGCTGATGGGAAACGGGACCACGAAAGCAGTGGCAGACGGGTTCTATGTGCAGAGAGGCCATAATTAGATTTATTACTGTAGTTCTTTTGGTTCCCAGAGACTCACCTCCACAGTAGTTATGTAATTTATGAGGGAATTTTAATATTTGGAGATATTATAGAGCAGATTAATGCCTCCTCTGTTCTTACCTAACTATTACCAAACTACTGCACCTTCTGTATGACTCTAATGTGATTTTCCATTCTGTGGTTCATCAGTAATTGGCAGTAGGTCAGAACCTGAAAATGTGTCCAATTAGAAGTGATAGAAACAAACCAACCCAAGGTGAGGTTTGATCACTTCTTTTATTCTTGTATTAATATACATTTTCTCTGTATAATCTCAATGTCATATATTCTCCACTTGTTCATCTCATGATGGTGAGAGTGTGTGGTGCAGTGATGATGTTCAAACCTTTGACAACCCAGCTGGACGTACATCTATTATCACTGTGCTAATTTTAAGTAAAGCAATTTTTTCTTGGAACAAAATGGCAGCTTCACATTAGGGGCTGAAAATGTCCATGTATTTGTGTGTGTGTGTGTGTGTCTGTGTGTCTGTGTGTGTTTGTTCATCCCCTGTGGAGTGCCTGTGTGGGTGTGTGCAAGTACATAACGGATGTGGAGTGTGTCACTTTCCCATGTGTGTTTGTTTTAAATGTGTGTGTGTGTAGGAGGCTGTAAATGGAAAGCCCATATCTGGCATGTTGACTAAAATCTCCTGGCTTGTTAACCTGAAAGGAATATGTGTATAACTGTATCTGTGCATGTGTAATGCTCCTGCATCCAAGTGAAAAATGCATCTTTTCTGGTTTTGTGTCTGTGATTGTGTGTGGGTGGAGGGGCAGGTGGCCATGACCAATCAATAAGCCTGATAATGAGATCTGAGGGGTGTCATTATGGTGGCCCCTCTGGCATACAACGCCTCCTCTTCCGTAACGAGCATCGTTGTCTCCTCTCCTCAGAGTGAACACGCACCTCATTAACCTTTTGAGCCAACAGAACCGACCAGACGCCATTTACTTTTCCTCAACATGTTATTTGCTCTTGGATCAAATACTGTAACTTCTCAAATGCTCTACAAAATGTCTGGTTCTGTACAATACTTTGGAGGTTTTTCATATGAGAAAAGTTTTAGTTCCTTTAACTTCCGTCAACCTCTTAAACACTATCTGTTAATGTTACCAAATAAAGTGATTTCTGTTGTGCTGACAGACAAGCCTCAGAGCCATGTGTGTGCCATTTTGTGATTGGCAGCAGTGGAAATTACTTTCTGAAAATATCCCACAATAACTCAAGCACTCTGACCCGCAATGATCTCACCAAAATAAACATTGCATAATCTATTTACAGTAGAAACTCAATTATGCATTACATCATATAAAAAAAAACATTTTTACAGTGAGCAGACTGTGCCGCTGTGACGACAAAGTATGTTTGATGGGGGGTTTCATGCCAAGCATGAAAATTGTCTCCTCTTCCCCAAACCCAGCTGTCTCCTCATGGCAGTAATCCCTCCTATGTTGAACACCAGCACATGGATTATCACAGTAATATGCGGAAAAAACTGTGAATGTTTTCAAAGTGAAAGTGGAAAAGTGAACAGGGTGTCTGAAAGTCATGTAAACCTCTGGGAATCAGAGCTGTTTTGTAGCAGTGACCTTCAGAGCCATGTCAGTTCCCCTGTGGTGTGTTAGTGTGTGTGTGTGCACTTTACTGTAGGGGTTTGTCTGATTGAGTAGTACAGAGGAACCTTGCTAAATTGAGTGTAAGAGAAACTCGCCTGAAACTAGAAGGACATAAGTCTGGTCCCCTAAAACAGTTTTTCTCAAACTTGTGTACCCCTAGAGGTACTTTGGAGTACAGCATTTTTTTTATGTTCATTCAAAAAATATTACTCATGCATTAATTAAAAAATAATTATACTTCAATTAAAAAATGTAAATGTAAGTTAGATAAACTACACGTTATATTAAATATTCCCATTTTCAATGCAATCATCAACTGCCTGAACGGTCAAAAAACCTCTAGAAAACACTGCAGTTGCCTGCCTGCCACAGAAAATGACAAAGACCCTCAGTGGAGCACAAGCTCATGTTTCTCACTAAATTCATCAAAAGGTGCAGTTTGATGCAGCAAATGCGGTCTTAGTGTGTTGCAAAAAATTGGTTAGCCCTGAATTTAGTGATGGATTCTAAACATTAAAAATAAACCCTATATAATGTTCTTTATATATAGTGTTTTGCTGCTGGTCAGAGGGTAATGAAAAAAATATGTCAAAGGGGCACATTCATCTAAAAACGTTTAAGAAGCCACTGCTCTAAAAGAAAACACTGTGGGCTGCATCAGCAGACACATGTGGCACTAAAGATATTCAGCCAGCTTCACACTCTTCCCATCGTGAGCTGTTGAATGAGAAGATCAACTAAAACGCACAAATGTAAATGAAATTCAGCAAAGATGCTTGGCTGAAACACAGTGCTGGATCAGCACATTTTCCCAGCATGCATGGACACGTATTGTAAACAAGGATTAGATGTCTAATTACATGTAGCTATCAACACTGAATTTTAAAACATTTTTACCCACCAATTTTAGAGAATAATTCCATTTCCTTGTAAGTGTTTGATGTTTAAACCAACAAGGGATCCATAGTTGGAAAAATAAACAGTTTGAATGTGTATGTGTACACGTGTGTCTCTGCTGTCGGGGCAGCTGAGAGCAGAGGCTATGTTTCCCCTGTGGTTTTGTACCATGCTGCAGGGGAGGTGATCGCCTGGAAAGGATTAATGCCCCCCCCCTCCAACCTCCTGTTATGGAGTAACATTCATCATACAGTTTCACAACTTCACCCCCTGGATTATCCCAGTGCCACCACTGTGCAAGATCACACACCCCTCCTCAGTCCCTG